AGGGGGGGGGGAGGGGGTGAAAGAGTGACTAGGGCGTACACGGTAGAGGTGCAGACCGCTAGTGTCTTTTATGCGCAGAGTCTTATCCTCTTGCTCTTTGAGCCTTGAAGCAGTCAAGCATGGACACACTATATTTATATCAGCTGTTGGAGTGGAACCCTGTACAGGTAGGCTCTACTTTTCAGCAGGCACAAGATTCATGTCCACTTCTAGCTGATTGCGTATGTCGCATACTCTTTTTCTACTGCAAGGCTAAATCAGTCCAGCTAGCTCTGACAACTTAAAAGAAAACTACGGTGCCATGTACTTACCTAATCCAGTGTGTTTCACACTTCAGAGAAGGTAATCTCATAGCTACTAAATACAGTGAGGGAGCAATAGCTGACTCACCTCAAGTACAAAATCAAATCGATAATGTACCTCGGCTGGAGACTGTACTTTTCGCAGGCGGAGATACCATGTACCGGCGCTCACTAGCTCTTTATGGCCTGAGCTAAATCAAACTAAAAAGGGAAAGCGGCTTTTTCTCTACAGAGACCTATAAAAGAATCAAACGACACTCGTGTAACAAAGAACTAAAAATTCAAGACCGCGCAATGCAATGAATTAAGATGCCTTGCAAAATGCAAGGAGCGTACGGTCCGAGGAATAATCTTCTCGTGACGTGGTCTCGACCGCTTTCATTCACAGACAAAATAAACTGCATCAAAAGGACTCTCTTTCACATTCACATCAAAAAACACAAGAAGGAGATACCGGCAAATGTATGTACAAACTTGCACTACAAATGCAGACTTATGAAATGACTTAATCATCAACCATGAATGTTTGTCCATTAGAGGTCATCTCAGAAAAAGCGGCTGTGATAGATATCATCAGTTATGCAAAACTGTCCATACCTATCTGCATGCTAAAGCGTATAAACCTGGAATGCAGGAGTATCTTCTTTGATAAAAAGTTTCTCCTCATTGCAAACCAGAATTTATTAAAACTTCAGCCTGGCAACTTAAAGTCAAGCCTGGAAGCAAAGCATCAACTGTAACCAGAAGTATCTTCACTTCCTAGCCATCATTTAAATTTCAGCCTTCGCTCAGGAATTATGCCGCTGCAAACGATGAAGTTGCTTGATCAGAAGTTGGCGGCCTTCCTTTCCTTTTATTCTGCTTTTGTCTCTCCTTCCTCCGCAAGTTCGCCTCATGAAGAGTTGCTCCCATGCGATACTGTCTTCTGTCTCCAGATGAAAAGGAAGCTGGTCTGAGTGAAATAAACATTGGACCATGACTGTCCTCGTCAGTGGGCCTTGAGCACATAACCTCCGTGTCAATCATAGCAAAGTTCTCTGAAAAATTACAGATGAACTCCTTCGTGCTCACTGTGGAATTTTCATATTCCTCTTCACTCATTGAATGACCCCATTCAACAATGGTAGACAAACATGTATCGCCAAGCTGTGATCCTTGGTATTCTTCTTTTTCAACAGTAGAATATTCTTCCCAGAGTTTATCAAAGTAAACTTCACACTTCTTGAGGACCTGTGAAGTTGAACTGTAAAATGTTCTGGGAATAGGTGCTTTGATACCAGGATCTGCTTTTACACGAGCTTCTGAAAACCTGCGGATCCAATGCTGCATGGTGCTGTAATAGTAGTTAGCCATTGGCTGCCTTTTGTACCCAGACATTCTGTAGGCCAAACTATTTGCATCACCAGAAATGATGTCCACCTCATAGACAAAACACTCGTAAAGCATCAATGCTGTCTGTTCTCCTGTCAGTAGGTGGGCATCCACAGCACGGTGTGTATCAACATGATAATTACAGACTCTGATGGTATGCATGTTCGCTCGAGTAAGTGGAACACGCTTGTCCTCAGGACCATAGTCATCAAATTCAAAGTCTGCATCCTTGAAACCTTGACGAGGCCTTGTTTCTCCAAAACAAATCTCGTAGATAGCCCAAGTTACATCACGCTGTTCACAGTGACCAAGATCTTGGTCATGTCCAGCAATGATCTTGACATATCCACCTGGTGCCAATCTAGCCATCACTGCAAGATTCTCCCAATCATTGAAACAAACTGTCCAATTCTTTTGCTCAATAAATTCCTTGGCAGGAACAAGAAGATGAGCTTCCTGGAGAATCACGACATGTGCACGTAAAAAGAAGAGCATGTTGAAGAAAAGGTTGTTCTCAAATTGCTCATTCTGAAGTGACATGGCGCTCTGTTTGCGTGGCCTCATTGCACTATCAAGTCCTTGGAGAAACCTTGGTGTGGTGTACTTCTGACCACGAACCATGTTGCCATAGTTCCAGGATAAAAATGTCAAGGACTCTGAGCTGGCCAATAAATTAGTTCCATATGGTTCTTCTATTCTTCCCTTGAGGAACCTTCTGCACAGCTCTTCATAGAAGGTGACAAAGTCCCAACTGGGTCCCTTGGGACCATATGATTCCAGTTCCTTCTTGAGTTCCTTTTTCGTATCCTCCAATTCTTCTCGAGCATGACCTGCCCTTTCAAGGGCCTTTGGATCGACCTGATACTTGCCATCCAAATAAATGATGCGATCATCATTGATGAAGAATCTCTTCAAATCATGCTCTGGTTCGTGTTCATAACAATCAGGTGGAGGTACTGGACAGATATTACGAATGGATCGAACAAAATCGTTCTCGTTGATCCTCGACTGATAATGAGGATGGGAAATCTCACCTTTTCTGAAACAAACATGATTCAGCAATCTTGCATGAGTTTCCCTGAAGCATAGTTGATAAAAGCCAATACCTGGATCTCCTGTAAGCTCTCCAAGCAACTTCAAAGGTGAAGTATGCAACTCATAGGTATTGTCAGCTTTTGTTGTATCCTTTTCAACAACTACTTCAGATGGAAAAGATTCTTAGATTTCAGCCTCCAATTTCTTCTCTCCATCATCCTCTCTGACCTCTTTTATTTTCTCCACCGCCTCTTTCTTCTCTTCCATGGTTGCATCATCCTGAACTTCTTCATGAAAATGAGGATCAGGAATCTTATTCAGGCGGCTTTTCTTAGATTTCCGCTGACCTGAAGTATCATCAAGGTTAGCATCCATCTCACCTGATGGTAAGTGCGATGCAGTCGAGTCCTCACCTATCTCTCTTGACAGAAAGTGTGGTGTTGACTCTTCCTTGGCTTCCTCCTGGTCAACTTCCATCTTTAGTTCCTCTGAAGGAAAAACACCTGCATCTTCGTCAAATATTTCTTGTTCCTTTCCAGGTTCAACTGCAGGATCTTCTTCAGGAACTTCCTCTTCCATATCCTCATCTTCCAGAAGTGTCATACTTCCAGTATAAACTTCACCAGCGATAGTGGAGACTCTTGTATAAGGAGGAACTTCTTCACCTGCTTCAAAAGCTTGTTCTGCAACATCCCTGTTGAGCAAGTCCTCTACAAGATTTTCTCCCTCGGTTCTTGGAAGAGGTCCTGAGGTCTCATAAAAATCTGTCCTCTCTGAACTGAAAGCTTCTGTCGCCTTCTCATTGTCCTTTTGATCCCTGAACAGGTGAGTAATCTTCACAGCTTCTCCCTGTAGCACCTGATCACCTCCTCTATACTTGTCGACAATGGAGCGCCATACTGGAACATCATCATCATCAAAATCAAGCTCCATATCATCTGCCAACAGGTATGAGATGTTTTGAGCTGCCTGTTCTTCTTCTTCATCACGTTCCTTGGCAAGCTCCTCATCCTTCTGGATCTTGAAGATACCCTTCAGGATGTCTTGTAGTACCTTTAAGTTCAGCTTCGATGATGGCTCATACGTCCCTGAACTTACAGGCTCAACTACAACACGAGAGCAAGAAATCGCCTCCAAAAACTTGGAATTGTATTGGCGTTCAAACTCTTCCTTCTTGATCATCTCATACAAGGGATCAGAAACTGCAACACGCGCCTGAACATACTCACGAAGTTGATAGCATGCATGTTGCACAAATCTACTGTTGGAGTTGTGAAGAAAACTCTCTAAATGATTCCTGTCACGGTCAATCAAATACCGCACAATCCTTGCAGAAAAACGGAATTTCTTGAAGTTCATAGCAAAATGTGTATGATACTTCTCTGGATTCCTTTCTGCTTGTAAGGCGGCCTCTGAAGTCTTGTAAGCTGGGAGATTTGTGTCTGGATCCAAAATCATAAACTCTTCCCACAAGATCGAGTGGTCAAGAACCCACTTGGGAAGCACCTTGATGAAAAAGTCACAAACAAGTTCTGACACAAGGTGCATGACACGACCAATCTCTTCCTCCTGCTTGAAGCGATAGTGCAGTTTGGCAAATAAAGGATTGTTGAATGCTTCCTCCACTGTATTGCCAAAATTATCCCACTGAGGTTCTGGAATACCAAAGTTCCAACCCAGCAATTTGGGATCTCTGCACATATCCAAGAAGCTTGAAAGCTCTACAGAAGCAATGCCATGGTCTGTCAGAATTTCAGCCCAGCGGCGTCCATTCTCCCAAGCACGGATGAAGAAAAACTGTTGGTATCCAGTTTGTGCCAACTCCATCCACTGAGAAATTCCGGGTTCAAAACT